ATAATTGTAAACGTATTTTAAAACTGTCAATAATGAAATCTTTAAGGTTTACCGTTGCCATAATTTTTCAATGATAGAAGCAAACGGAAACAGAAAGAAACTGTGGAAAATAAATGTTGAAAATATATTAGTTGTAAGTTAATTCTGATGGAGCAGTAGGTCAGTTGTAGATGTTGGGAGTGTAAGAACCATAAAGGCTTTGTCAAATGTGCTCTTCCTCCAGGAAACTGTGCTGTGTAGTGCTCTGATGTATCGATGACGATGATGATGATGGCAATATATGTATATCCAGACCTATATAGATATTTAGATGCCTAAAACTCCATTGTGTTAGACACAGTATAAGAAATTTTCTAATGATTATCATTGGGATTGTCTTGCTTTAGGAAAGGTTAAAATTAAAATCACACTGACTATATTTAGGCTCAGATAGCAAGGATAATATAGTTTAGAATGTACTTCTTTCAGTAAAAAAGTTAAGGAATACTTTGTACTGACTAGAAGATGCTGAGAATATTTAGTTGTAGTTTTTAGATTTACATTGTAGTATTACTAAACTTTCCTTTAACGACCAAGATACGGAAGATTGAAACAGCTCTGCACAACCTTCCTTCTTGTGAGTGGGACTTTGCAGTAAAGGTCTCATTAGGGTTAAGTCCTCACTTCCCATGGACTAACCTTGGAGAGATGGAGCTGTAAGGAGCAGAGGCCTATTCCTGAAATAAAAGCACAGAAAACGACTACTAAAAGATGAAGCCTGGGTCATCGGCTGGGACAGTGGCTACTATTCTCCCAATAATAATGGCATTTTGAGATTAAGATTTGCAGCACCATCTTCCACAACAAGAGCCTGGGTTGGAGCCCCAAGCCATGATCCGAGAAAACGAGGACTATCTCATCCATAGTTAGTCTTAAGCAATCTGGAGAGAACTGTAACCCATCCAGGGAACAAATAATTGGGAAAATGAAGTGACTGTTATTGCTTGCTTGCCAACCACTTTCCCCTGAAATAGCATTTTATAACGTTGATGTCATGAGGTTTTTTTTCCAGTTTCATCACACCATTGATTTATTGAAGAGTTGCAAATAACCTTTTCTAATGCCAAAAGAGGCTTACACGTGAGCCCTGTCATAGGCCTAGAACTTAAGCAGAGAAGGTATTTTAGACTGTGCAAGCCATGTGGTCTTGAACTGTACTGAAAGAAAAAGTCCCAGTGGAAATATGCATGGATCAATACATTTTTCGGAGAATGCGATAATCTCTGTTCAATCTCTGATTGTTCAGGTGGTTTGCTGCTGTTCTTGATGCATCTATTATCCTTTGAGCCAGAGATTTCCTTAATTAAACAAACAAGGAGGCCACCTGCCAAACCAAAACTACCACAGTCTACGCAGCTAAAACATTGGTTAATGCTGTCTACAGTGACCTATGTCCTGAGTTGGAGTGCCAAGAATAAATCTTCATTTAAAAAACTGATAAGATGGTTGGTTTGATCAATTCAGAAAATTCAGAAAAAAGTTACACAGTAGTTTTTTGGGGGGTTATTTGTAAATGAAATTCCAGTGAAAGATGGACTATTTTCAGTTTTAACCATTTTGGGGGGCACCAATTTAGATGCAGTTTAAGAAGACAAAGACACCATCCTAACTTGTATATTGCTACACCTATTCCTTAGGCCCCTGTTTAGTGAATGAGTTAGTTCTAGAAATCGTTTAGTTTCCCTTTCATATAGATATAACCTGGTCTCTGAGTTTTAAAGCTTCTATTAATTATATTCCTCTTTGCCTTTAGTTTCAGATATTTTCAAAGTTTTCTTTTTATCAATTAAAAAGCTACAATGATCTTTTACAAAACAGCTTTTCACTTTAAGAATTTTTTTAAAAAAACCCACTGAACACAATCTCTACTTCTTTGCCTATGTTCTCAGAGACAAGATGTCCTAGTTACAGTATTTTATTATTTGGTTGTGTGACGACTTATTTTTCCTCATTTTGGTTCATGAAAAGGTATACCTAACTCCCCTCACTAATATTTACAAAACCTCCATTGCTCTTTATTTTTCATTGATGCCTGTATCTCGGTACCCTTCATTAACAAGTTTTTTTCTTTACTGGTAATAATCACATCACTTCTCTGCTTCTTCACGTTTGAGGGATGTGGGGAGCAATCAATATTGATGATGGTCTGATAAAGCTGAACTTATGGATAATAAAGCAATCACCTTAACATCGGGATAAATATGTGTTTCCTTTATTGACTGCTATGTATAGAATACCAACGAAGTTACCATTCATTCATCCATTTAGTAATATTTATTATCTAATTTGCATTAGGCAGTACTATAGGCTTGGGGATAGAGCAGGGAACAAACAAAATCTTTGGAACCTAGAAGTGTGCCAAGAGAAATAAACTTAATTGTGAATTAGAATATTAAGTGGTTTAGTTAGGGCAAAAGTCTTGTTTTCTCCTCTGGGAAACTTCATGGAATTGCTTTATGTAGGAGGAAAAAGATACATCTTGTTTTACAGTAATTGTGAAGAATAAGTGGTAAATCATGGAGTTTATATTTAGATTGTACTATATATTTGCTACAAGGTATAAAATTGGGTAAGTATTTTACCTCATAGAGCTTCCAATCTAGTTGGAGGATATGATAAATACTAACTTCGCCAAACCACCTTAGTTTCTTCAGTGTAACAAATGACTAACAGGAAGAAAAAAGCTGAAACATATGTTCACGTAGCCATCCAAATAGAGCACTCCACTCCATGTCACCATTTCAGGACTACTGACAGACACATTCATTTATGTTACAAATTGGGATATAGTGCCTCTAGGAAATACAGGGTGACCCAAAAGCATAGGGAAAATGGGAAATTGTAGCTAATTGTACCTTTATTTACAAAATATTCATTACAAAATTTTTCCTTTGTATGCAGACTTTGGGGACACCTTAGAATTCCCACCATTCTAAGTCCCTTGGTATTACCATTTCATTGACTGCACCAACATTTCTGACACTAATGTTTTGGCTCCTGCACTCTATTACAGTCCAAGAAACCTGTCTCTTTGGATATAAACAATAAAAACAGAACAGATAATTAGGGAAAAATAAGGCAGCCTATGAAAATGGCACAGGTTGACATTAACACAGCCCCCAGGATTAAAATAAGTGAGCTCCAATATGGTCAGGGGACTCTGGGATAAATTTAATAGAAAAAAAAAAGCCATCTAAGCTTAGTGTTAAAACACAGGTAGAATATCTATAGGCAGAAACAGGGTAGAGAAGGCAGACAGAAGAGAAGGATGTGCTCAGTAGAATTTGGCCAGAGACATACAGAGTAGAAAGAACAATTATCCCAAGTCAGACACCATGATGATGGGGCAGGATGCTTATTTCAAAACCACAGAATATTGTTTGCTGGACTCAATGAGTGGAATATAGAACATTGTAATTAGTTTAACTCTTTATCTTCAGCAATAACGGCCCCCTTTCTACTCAATTATCTCACCTAGAATCATCCTGTAGGCTCTTCCTGACCCTTGTAAGGTCAGTACCCTACTTGTCTTCTTTAGGACTGAAAACGTCCTGTGGAAAAGCAAGTTTTCCCTATGTGTGTTTTACATTTTATTCACATTTTAACATGATATTCAGTTATGACAAATACTGCTTATTGTGTACGTATCAAGCATTTAGGCAGGCTTATTTCTAATTCTCAGACTCAAGGTGGATAATTTTACTCTTATTTAAATGTTGAGGAAACAGAGGTTTAGTTAGATTAATGGACTCATCTAAAGCCACAAAACTAGAGTTTTTATTTTAACAGAGGTCTGGTTTGATTTGAAAATTCAATCCCATTTTACTTTGGTGGCTCTTACCCAGTGGTGCACATTTGTATCACCTGGAGAACTTTTAAAAATGAAATTTATTTAAATTAGTTTTTAGTGAAAGGAAAGCAAATACATAGGTCAAAAGAAATCAAAATACTGTTAGACTGGTAGTTAAAAACAGTAAGCCTTTTCTCTACTCACCCCTGATTTCCTTTCTCCAGAGACAATCACTTTTGACTCTTAGCTGTTTTTCATTTATTTATTTTTTTAAAACGTTTGTACTGTTTTTTTTTTACTTTTCTATATTAGGTATGATTGACCCTCCATCATAACACACACACCTGTCTCTTTTCGCTCACCCTCCCAATGTTATATAATCATTTCTTGTTAAATCAGTATTCAGTATTTACATAATTACAACTGACTTACATGACTAATACTCATAGTTAAGGTATGCACTGTAGTTTTTAAATTTTTATCTTTCCTGGGGTTCATAATTAACTCCGTATTTTCAAAGTTTTGAAAAATCTACAGATAACTAATTCATCCCCAGGCTTTCTGAAAAATGAAAAATCTCTGGTACATATTCAAATACACCAGTTAATCAATTTTTCTTTTTGAGATATCCCATCTGAAATCTCCATCTTTAGGCATACCTGTTGACTTCATGCTGTTCTTCCCTACCACCCTCCCTCTTTAATATAGTTATATTATTATTCTAGTAAACATTAATGTTGCCCTGCAAGTAATAAAATGTCTTTTCTCCCTCAACAACAGTCTGTATCTCTCAATTTTCCACTTTCTAAGGACACTATAACCATTCAATTTACCTTCCCTTCTCTCCCTCAACATTCCTACTGTATTCCCGACTGTATTTTTAAAACTCGGATGCTAACATTTGCATTCTACTTTGTAACCATAATTAAGTATTCCCTTAAAAGATAAAAATCATAAACAACATCTGCATTATTATTACTTGTATGTTATTCACTGACTAGCGAAGCTGTGCGCTAGGACAGGTTTTCCTTTTCTTCAGCTCCAAGGTCTTGATCCACGTGTTGCTCACAGGAACATTGAAATACAGTTCATTTTCTTGTACTCCTACCATCTGTTCAAAATCCTGCAGCATTCTCTGTTTGGTATTTGGAGGATGCTTTTCCTGTACAGTTTTGGGTTTTTTCACTGAGAGTTTCTGACTATCGTTGTTTTTTCTTGTGGGATGAAGAAATATATGCCTTCCATATCATATCCTTAATACCTTAAGCTTCTCTTATTCCAGTCTTGCTTACAATTCAATCCAATATTCCCAAAGTTTACCGATTTTTTTCAGAAAATTTTGGCCTTCCTGTCTTTTCCTTTTAAACAATGCATCCTGTACTCTTTGTCACATCCTGAAATTCGTCCGCTGTTTGTTTTAAGGACGCATAGTTTCTTAAATCTTCCGCTGGTCTTCACTAAGTTCTCCGCTCCCGGAGCCGCGCATTTCCCCTTTCTGGTAGCTGCAGGATTTCCGCCACCCTCCGGGGGGCTCGGCTAGCAGCGAAGAGCGCAGCCGCGGAGGGCGCCCGGGCACTCTCGCGAGACTGCAGGGCTTGTCGTCCGCAGCTCCGCTCCGCCGCGAGGCTGTCTGGGAGTCGGCCATCATGCTGGCCCTGGAGACCGGCGAGTTAGTCACGGCTCTAAATGTGTACCTGCAAGCGGATGTTGAGGATCACCGAGCCCGCGATGTAGAAGTACGGGAAGTTCATACGTAGCTGCCAGGCCAGCTCGAAGAAGGCGAGTAGGGTGCGGGAGAGCCCCTTGCAGAAGACCCCGTACGAGGTGGGGTTTGCGGTCAGGCTCGTGGCCCTGACGGCCAGGAAAGACGGAGCAGCCACTGGGGCCATGGACCCGTTGTCGCTGGCCGCCCAGCGTCTTGAGCCGAGGGTCACCGCAGGCCCCGCGAACCCCCGAGTGACGGCCGGGACCGGGGGCAAAACGGCCGCCGAGCTTACACCTGCCCCTGCTGCTGCCACCGCTTCGTGCAATGCGGCGCGCCGGCCCCAGCCGCCGTTGGCGCTCCGCCCCTTCCTGTCTGCTTCTCATTTTATTTACCATTTAGAGCTTAGCCAGTGGTAGAGCTGGAATAGGGTATGTTATATAACATACACGAACAGCCGTGCAGATGTTCTTTCCACTTTAAAATGAAAAGGCTAAGTGAAATTATGTGATTTGCCCTAGAACACGCAGTTTGTAAGGGCCAAAGCTGGATTAAAACTCGGGTTTGTCTGCTGTGTGATCTGGCATGTTAGCCAGGAATCTTACTCTTTGATTTCGTAACATTAACTCTAGTATTAGGACAAGTTGATCTCCTTACATAAGTCAGAACAGGCACAAAGACTCTGTATTCATAATATACCACAGCTATAAAGGTTCACTATCTTAGACTATGGATTTTACAGTGTGTTAGGATTATTTAAATGGCATGTGGCAGAAACTAAGCAAAAAAATAAAAAAAGTACACATACACACACTTTTAGTTTTTACATAATCCCTCCTATGTAAACCCATAAAAAGTTCAGATTAGCTGTGGAAGCTTCAGTCATTTCTACATGGAGCTGCACTTGTGCAACCTGTGGGTAGGCAGATATAACTGTCTACTTTCAAACCGTTAATACCCTTAGAGTAACATCACAATGGCTCTCCCATAGCCACAATAATTTTCTGATATTTAAATGATGCACATTTCATTACCTTCACTAATCTTCCATTTTAACTAGAAAGCTCTGTATTTTTCATCACATACACCCTCTACATGGATTATTCCAATGTGTGATTTCTGATCATAACCTTTAGATTACAGTCTGGTTCTGAAAAGCATTTTTCAAATATCTCACATTTCACCCTGCACTGCATATTTCTAGTACTATTCAAACCACAATTACTTTATACTAGAGTGCCTCTGTTTCTATTTATCCTACTGATGATGTGACTGGTACAAATAAAATGTCATTGTGAAATTTCTAAAACATAATTGTGTGTTCCCAGCTAAAATTTCTTCTTTTTCTATTTTGCTGTACCAATACCACCATAGCAACTAGATAGCACTTAGAGGAACTGTTAATAATTACTTATGACAGCTTCTAAAATACTGGTATAGAGACTGAAGAGCCAAGTAAGGTGAATGATGATCAACACTAAGAACCAGGAGATGTATAGTTTCAGTAAACATGTATAATTTACTCTCATTGAAAATTGAAAGAACAATACATAAAGCCATTCATGGTCACAGGAGTCATTAAGTCCCTGAATTCGTGGATTCATCCTCTCTTCCACTCTTCCTTGTGCCCCACCTGCCTCAGCTCTGGTTAACTCCATGTAAACCCTGTCTTCCACCCTGATGACTGCCATGTACAAACACTGATGCCTTTATGTAAAATGGAAGACAGAAAATAAGCTTTAATTATATGGCAGGAGAGTGGGATAAGACCAATATTTTAGTTGTAGTTTTTATTTTGTCCATTGATCTTCAGATTTGGATGACTAATCTACACTTCTTACCAATAGCACATATGAAGAAGTTATCAACAATAATGCATATCTTAAGCCATTCTCTCCATGGTACTTTGTTGATTATTGGCATTCCTTTCCTCATCTTTCTTATTCCCCTATTTTTGACTTTATCTTCCAGTTTTAATGCATTTTAAAGGCTTGTTTAGCTTGATGATCTTTGGAAAAGTTTTAAGGTAAGCTACAGTAGGTCTGCAAAGTACCATATTGCCAAATTTTCAATTCCTTTTTTGAGAATTTGGCAATGTAAGTGCTCTATTATATGTAAGAAATGCATTCAGAGTGCAAGGATTGGATCCAAATGATCCAAGCTTGAAGGTAAGAGGAAAATTGGAAATCAGTGAGTTTATCCAGCATGTGTATGCTAACAAATTGAGTTCAACTTTTCAATCATCACCACACACGGAAACTGTTTGAGGTTTAGTGTAAACATACACAGGTTTATTAAAATTCTTTGACAGGAAAACAAATTGCATCAAATAATCCCAATGACTAGATTTCATAGCAATACTGGACAATTTCTGGATCAAGAGTGTACAGTCAAGCATCATGTATTATACTGAAGCAGAAAATCAGTGGCAACATTAGAGATTAAGATTTTTCTCTCTTTGTGTATAAGGAAAGATATTTTGCTGTTGGTGGTATTAGAATTGATGATTGGATTGTATGGAAATGGCTTGATATATTGGTTAACTGCATTGACTGGCTCAGACCTTGGAAG